ACAAGGGAGTACCTTTGACTGTAAAAGTGGCAGATACAATAATTTTTTGTCTCCTTCACAAAAGCAACAGAGAAAGTTGCAGCAGAAAATCAGGAAAACTTGGATCTGATTTAATCACCAGGGTTTTTTACATGGCCAACACGTTCCCGGAAGCCTACAAGAAAACTTCTTCAGAAAAAAAAAAAATTCACTGCAAACTGTTAGAATTCCTTGCGCCTAAATTTCTTTTTATCATCTTTTAATTGAATTATTTGCTTAGACTTCGCTATGAGATCCCTGAAAGAATCTAGGTTTCCAAGACTGACATAGTTATTTCTTAATTTCAAACAAATTTGATTAAAACCTGTCTTATGTGAATAGCAGCTTCTTCCAAGTAAATTGTTAAACATTACAAACAGGAAGTACTTAATAATTACGAGCTTACATTAAATTGAATTTGCAGCTCAGGTTTGAAGAACAACTTCTATTCCAGACTAAGCTCTTTATCCTTCAACATTTCAAATGAGAAATTTCAAGCAAGTACATACAATGTATTTCTCATCTCCTGAGGTTGCTACTTCTGTTAAAAAATTAATTTGTTTGCCTTTTTCCTCACAATTAGATTTTGTCAAAACTTTGCCTGACTGATTAAGGAAACCTTTAAGTATTTTGCCTGTGCAAGTATACTTGTAACCCCCTCGCCCCCCCGCCACCGTCTCCGCCATCTTTGAAACTTTTTTATCAGATGCTTTTTAGAACACATTTCAAAAGTTTTAATTGTCATATCATAGCAAACACATGAGAAAATGCATACTAGATGTTTAATGCCTTTTTATCTGGTCGCACTTGTATGGATCAAATTGTTAAAACTAATGAACAACATCCAATTCAACTCAAGGATTTTGCAGCGTAGCTTTACTACTGTCACAACAGAATAGGATACAGAGACTGACTGCATCAGATGGCTACTCTCCACCAGCGACCATACACTCTGCTAAATCAGTACTATTAAAAACTGCTTTGCAGGTACATATATGTGAAAGTTTTAACCTACCTTTTAATGGAATTTTCCTAAGCAATTCCCCCAGCACTAAAGTATAAGAGTCTCCTGATGCTAAAACTGTTGGACTACCTGTTGTAAATTTTTTGCTAAAAGCCTGATTTGAGCCACTTGACAGAAATAGTCAAGCTCAGTTCTGTTATCTAATCGGCACAAATTTTTAATTCTCAACTTAATCTACTGGTTACAGCTTCAAGACTAAATAAATTTACAGGAGTGTGATTCTCCAGTTTGGGATGACGGTGAAGTTCTCTTCCTCTACATGAGCTTCCTTTACACTAAAGCTAACACAAATTTCATAGTGAGAGATAAAAATCAGGTTCCACTTTGTATTTCTTGGCAAAGGCTTTAGTTGGTATCTATCAAGAAAAAAGCTTATTGATACCAGCCTCTACATCAGGGAAGCAATTTCAGTACTAGAAACAGCAAAAATAAGTTAAAGAGAAAATGGTACAGGAGACCACAAACCGACATTTTATTCTCCCCAAGTAAAACCAAGTAGAAAAATCATGTAAACCAAGCAACTACAACAAACGAGTATCGTCTTCATATACAGACTGTTTTCACTACACTAACCTACTTCTACTCAGTCCAATACACTTTACTTCTATCACGATCCCATACCCCATTCTTTTTTCCTCCTGAGCTGCATCTGCTTTTTGTTTTCTCCTGTCCAAGAAATGTCTTGATTATCTGATTACCTTTTCATCCGGACAACTGTCATCATCCGGTCAGTTCTTTTTCTGGGACTCCCTTTGAGTACATCTCTGATCCATTTTTCCTACGGATGACTGGTAGCTGCACCACGCCGGGTGGCTCCCAGTCCCTCTCCTGTCTACCACTGACCCCCAGTGGTTACAACTGTATTTGCTCTGTCTCACTGTTGACAGACCGCTGGTGCTTCTGTGGAATGAAGCTTAGCTCATGCTGGGACATCCGGAAGCAAGCAAGACCCAACATTGTACGGCCACTGATCACAGAATCAAAGAATAATTCTGGTAGAAAGGGGCCTCTGGAAATCACCCGGTTCAATAACCCCTGCTTGGAGCATTTCAGACTGCTCGGGACTTTATTCAGCTAGGTAGAAATTCCATAGGCTCCGGCCAGTCTGTTCTAACGACTGTTACTCTCATTGAGAAAACATTTTTCTCAATATTTAATTAGAATTTCCCTTGCTACACCTTGTGTTCAAATCCAACTGGCTCAGTTACATATGCAAAAGAAAGGAAGAGGAGGAAGAGGCAGCTATTCCCAGAGAAGAGAATCCCTCTTGAGATTCTGTCCAATCTCCCTGGCAAAGGGAAATGTTTAGTTATATAAGCCTTATCTCCACATATCTATACCTTTGTGTAGTGGCACAAAGAGATCTGGCCCTGATTACAGCATAATTCCACTTCCAAGAAGGAAAGTTGTAAACAAAAGCAAACCCCAAAAGGTCACCTCAGGAATAGGAGAACTTGTCAATTTACAAAATCTCACAGTTTTTCCTTTAGTCTTTGTTATGCAGAATGCGAAGCTCTCAGATGAGCACTTATAGATATGTATTCTTTTTCCAAAAAAATGTTTCACTGTTTGAAGAGACCTAGCCTATTCTATTTTTAACATTAAATCTTTATTTGGAAGATACTAATGAAATTTAATCATTTATATAATGTGATTTTAAGCTAACCATTATTGAAATAATTGCTGATAAAGCACATATATTTTCAAAGAACAAAAAAATCCCACTGCATATGACAAAATGCCAATTAATAGAATTATCCAAATTGAATTCCAGACAAATTGCCCATCATTTTTTCCAAGACTATTGATTCAAACATTACAGCAAACATTCATCCTGAAGTTTTCTATGCATGTCACACTTTCAGCTCTATCCAGCTATTAAGTAAAAATCAATTATTTAATCGTTAAAGCAGTACACATAATAAAAATATACCTGAATGCAGAATATTTGGTAAGATTTGAGCTGTCTTCAATGTTCCATTGGTTTGTACTGATTTTAGGGCTGGTCTAACATTCAGCATGCCAGTAACAATGAATAAGCCTAATGCATTACGTAAGTGTAAGCTGATTAAATCCTTGATCCTGAAGCCACCTCTTTTCCCCCCTCCCCCTCTGATTTAAAACTTGGCACAGTTGAAAAAATCTTGGTTTTATACACTTTCAAAGCCTAATTTGTACCATTTTTGGCATAAACCCCATCACAATTTACATTAATATAAACCTTCAGGTTTTAGACTTTCTTGTATTTTAATAATTTCCTAAACCTGGTAAAAGTCCATTTAAAGTGATCTGTTCCCTAATAAATTTTAATTTTGTGGCCAAACTTTTGGGTTTTTTTTTTTTAAATATATACTGAATGGCACAAAGGTTATTCAAGTTGCCAGGTCCAACCTTTACCCATAAATATTAACAGCAAATTGAACTAAATACAAAGCCATGCTGTCATAAACTTCAGTGCTACCAACAAGTGAGATAGTAAGGCTTACTGCACATGCCAGTCCTCATTTCCAACGATATTATGTCTCAAATGAAGTATACGTGCTATGACTTACACGGAGGAATAGATCAGGGGAGGTCATGAAGAGTTATGTTCCCCTAGCACATAATAGCACTATGATCTCACTACATTGTCAATATGACAATGGGAGCAGGATAAATGGATCCGTACAGCAGAGGCTATCAGCTAGTGTTCTCTACAGAAAAGGAACGTAGAAAGCAATACACGATTAACTGTTTTGAATAGGGAAAAAAATTCCTTCCACTAGGCCCACATGCCACACACAAAACAAGCTGCAAAGAGTTGCAAACCGACTGAACAACTTTGTTGCTGCATATTTGTGTGTGTGTGTGAATTTTAGATGCCAATTATCAGGCAATATACAAGTACAGAGTTCTTTAATCTGCAGAATTATTTTTAAAATTTTAGTTCTTTTTTTCTTTAAGACATCTCAGCTTGAAAAACCTGATTCATTTGCTTTTAAACTTTTTAAAGCATTATTTTACCCTGAGAAAGAGCCCTATGCATATTTGGAAACTGACAGTGCTTCGTAGAGACAATACAACTATGAATTGGCTCAAATTTTATCAGAGCTTAAAAATGTTTAAAAATAGTCAACTATAGCTATAGTGCCTCAGCGAAGGCAGCAGAATGGCCCTAAGCAAATGAGAGCAGAATACACTCTGTCAAGTCTTCATTAGTATTGAGGATGAGAAGAGAGAGAAGAAAGTAAAGCGAGTTTCAGCTCAGGAATAGAAGGTTTTTAAGCCACGGTAACCACAAAAGTGTCGTACTACATTTTACTTGTAAAAGAGAGAATGTTCCAGCCAGGATTCCCTGAATGCCACCAAACAGGTTGCCTATGCTATGTAATACGTATTTTAAATTAGAAGCCTAGTAACATTTTAGTAAAAATAATAGGTGTATAAATTAATCAAGGGCATAAAAAACAGTATAAAGAGGTGGATGTGAGTGGTAGAGGTGGATGTGAGTGGTATGCAACCTCTTCTACTAGCATCTGAAAACATCCCAATCCATAGACACATTCTCATGTTTTAACATATGAGGCTATATCATGAATCAATACCAATGAAATAAATCAAACAAGGAAAGATGTCGGGACAGGCAATACTAGTAAGAAAGAACAATGTAGCCCTTTTTTTCTTCACACAGGATGAATAAGACAAAAGAAGACAGATTAGAAAATGCAGTAATTAAGACTCCAGTGGCTTCTCATGTCACATAAATGAATTTCTTTCTAGACAGAAAATTTAGAGTAGTTCATGAAAAAGCCATATTCTCCCATTCACTTTATGAGAAAAACAAACAATCAAATCAGAAGAACATCTATACATTTTCCAGCAGTTCCCACCATAGGAGATCTTGAGAAACAAGAACTTTAAAACCATCAAATATTTGAGTGGAATTGATCCAAACCCTTTATTAGAATTTATTACATACCCCATTCTCTGTACGTTTCTCCACAGGTATATTTATGCCATTTCTTTGATTTTGGGCTTGACGTCCACCTAAAAGTAAAGTACCACTCTTAGCACAAAGTTCGGTTTTCAGCACAAATGGTTTTCACTCTCGAATCTGTTATTTTCAAGAATTTTTATATAAAGCTTTTACCTGTGAATTTTTATTCTGCTAGTTCTAACTCTTTCTTATTAGGTTATTCTTTGTAAGCAGTGGAGTCAGCAGAAATAAAGCATTTACTTCACAGACTTCCTCTGTTAAAAGTACAGACATGCAGCTCTACTTTTCTGACTTGGGTTTAGGCAACGATGTCATGAAAGGGAATGTACAGAGCGTGACTACTGAAGTTTCCTATTTCTGTGTCAACAAGAAGCAGTAGCTTCAGTTGAATGTATTATAAATGAACATAGTAGGTGAAGCTTTTCTAATGCCTTATAAACAACTTTCATCTACAGATTGATGCATAGGTCAATGATTAATTAAAAAGCCTTGCAAGCATGGTTCAGAAGCAACATTTTGCTTGTACGTGAAACACTGGCTTCAGGCGTATCTTAAATTTCTTAAGATACTTTAAATTTACATTGCCCAAAGGATGACCAAGTAGTTTACAAAGTACTCAATTAATACAAAAATCCCTCATCCATTATTGGGCCTGCTACTTCTGACATTCAAAGTGACCAGGAACCACTCAGAATATGAAAAGAAACCCCAGCTCAAAGCAGTAAGGACTCAGCCAAGACTGGAAATTCAGTTGTTAGAAGTAGTCAGATTAGTTGAATGAGTAAGGATAATCTGAGCATGCAAATATACATCTCACTTTGAGATACCCTTCCTATCCTTCAGACAGCCTGACAGCCACTAAGTATATAATGCACAGCCTCAAAAGTTTTCTCATAAAGTACAGTCTATACTAGTTAGATCAGAAAACTGCAATCCTTCTATTTTTTTATTCCAGTCTTTTAAGAAAGTCCAACTTAATACGGCACTGTTTTATATAAACACTTTGCCTGTAGAACCAAGCAGACCAGCAATTTTTCAAAGTGCAAATTATCACCACTATTAAATATATCTGCATGAAGTACTGAGAAAGTAAAGCCACCAAGACTTCTGCCAACGATGTCTGTAAAATGGATTTTAGTTTCTAAAGGAGGCAAAATAGTGTACTGAGTCTTTTCACTGGGGCAACTGAAAGAGAACAGAAGGTCAAAAAGAACACTGCTTCCCCCCCTCCCCCCCCCAAAACGTAGGGACTTACTTTCAACAAGAAAAAAACCAAACACATTAAGCCTCTAATACCCACCATCATTTTTGGATCGGTATGAAGTAGAATAGGAACCCATCTTACTACAGAAATATTACTCAACAGACTGGTAGAAATTATTCTAGAGAAGAGAATTTGAGACATGAATAAATGTGCCACTTAAGAAGATTCAAAACGACTTTGGTATAAGGAAGTGGTATTACATATATTTGCTGAAGTTCACTGAAAGAACTGATAAAACTCACTTCAGAAATCTTTTAAATGTGTTCAGGTAACAACACCACAGGATAAGCATACTTACTTTGTTCATTACTTTCCGCTGGTGACTCCTCATGACGAAGAAAAAATTTCACCTCTTCTCTGCGGGGACCCCATTTCTGTAGGTGGTCATACATCATGTGATCAAAGGGTATGGGACGTTCTAAAAGTACAAGACCAAAAACTTATCACAACTATTTTGAATTAAGTAAAGTTTTATAGAACTCTCATTTAGGAAACAGAATGTCCTTTTTGGTAGCAATTCAATCTATCCAATGTATCAAGGCCAGGCTGGACGTGGCCTTGGGCAACCTGGTCTAATGGGAGGTGTCCCTGCCCGTGGCAGGGAGGTTGGAACTTGGTGATCTTTAAGGTCCTTTCCAACCTAAACCATTCTATGATTCTATGATTTTGTCTTATGCAAAGTCAAAGAAACAGGCACCAACAGACAATAGCTGCACTGTATTAAAAGCTAACCTGTTACTGTGACATAGCTCAATGCTTAACAGCGGCACACAACCCGTTTGCAAAACCATACAAAAAATATCAGTGTTTAGAAACCCTAATTTAGGAATTCTTCATCACAACCTTTTTCACAATCCTGATCTTTCCACCTTTGCTCCCCATCACCACCAGATGGATATTTTGTTCTATTACTAAAATCATTCATTCAATTTCAACCTCCAGGTTTCCACTTACACTAAAAGCCTTATTATTATATTGACATTTCATCTCCTAAGAACTCGAGCAGGTGCTCCCACTCCAATACACTATGCAAGACATTAACTTCCAGTCTATGTGGAATTACTGGAAAAATCTTTGAACAAATAAAGGCTAAATTCTATGCAGCAGTCAGTCTCTTTGTTTTCCCTCAAAGAAATGTAAAACATTCTCATAGTGTAGTTATTTCTTCCAAACTGATCAAATATATTATTACTAAGAGGCTGCACACTATATATTTAGCATTTCAAAATGAAAATACATTTCAAAAGCAAAGTTTTCACTGTTTTCATAATTATATTTGCATTTATATTAATTATATTAATCAGCTGACTGGTTACCCATCTTCCTGGAGGGAAAAAAAAAACCAACCAAAGAAAACACCCCCAAAAAATCACAACACCTGGATTTTAAAAAAATAGATGCTTTTCTTATCTTTTTCTTGTTCCTCACTCATGTGGACTCCAAGAAACATTGTCAATAGTGTTTATGCACACAAGAGTAAGGTCAGTGGCTTATTACAACTCAGTTCTTGAAAAGGAATTTTATAAACACGATTTTCAGGTTTTTCAACTCCAAAGTAAGGTAAGATTTCAAGTGCTTTGAAGCATATCCACTAAAATTGCAGCATAATTCTTCTAAAGATCACAGAGTGTAAAAATATTTAAATGGTTTAGTTCAGAGACTTAAGGACACAGAAGATAAGAATCTTTAGGAATTTTTCCCAAATAAAGAAATTGCTAGGTAAACCTAGCAAGAATTGAAGCTTGATAACAAGGTACCAAGAAATTGGATGTCTGAACAGGGTTGGGCTAATTCTGGAATGGTGAGGAGTGGCTGCAACATCGCTCCTAGTTAGGCTGGTCTCCCATTAAAAGTATGGCCCTGATCATAGGAGCTATTCAAAATAAAAGGTTTCATTTACATAGTGCTAATATTTTTCAGACACGACCACGAAGAAAAATGGGATAGACATTGTCTACTGTTTTTGTAATTCTTCCACAAATCCAATTCGGGATATGTTGCCCTAAAGTAGACAGAAAGCAGGTTAAAATACTAACAGCAACATCATCATCCCTGAAAGACAGGAAAAAAATGAGGAAGCACTAATCATTCTGTGCAACTTAGCTACATGAAACACATTCAGCGAAGAGGAAGAAGAAATGGACATTAACACCTGACAGAAGACATAATGAGAACTGAAGTCCCCATTCCTTCCTTCAGTTTAAATCCTTTAAATCCAGAAAAATTACAGGAAGAAAGCATGATCTTGTATTTGCTGTAAGTTAGGACAGCACAAAGGGATGTTTTCTGGAAATACCTGTTCTTTAAGAATCAAAACCAAAACAAACAAAAAACCAGCAGTTAAAGTTTTCCCGGTTCTTATAGCTTCAGACATATTTGTCAATAATTGTTTTCACAATACTACTTCAAAATCTAATTATTTTTAAGTTTAAATAGAAGAGAATGAAGAGAAGGTAAAATAGGAGAATGGATGTAGAGTAATAATAAGCAGGTTGGATCCCCATACTTTAACAACACATTAAAAACTATATCAAGAACGTTTGTTTTCATGAATAACTAAGTAAAAACTGATATATATGCATATGTCCATAATTATTTGCAAAAACTGCCTTAGATTTTAAGTTTGATGAGAATTCTGAGAGAGTTTTGAGAACTGAGCTTGACTCCTTTCCTTTTAAGCAAAAGTTTTGAGGATGAGCTAGTTTTAAGTATTCTAAATGACCAAAACACCCTGAAAGATTAAAACACAGATACCGCATCAATGTTTTAGAAGAGAATTACAAAAATCTTTCTGTTGGAACTATATATCCACTATTTAAAACCAAATAAGTTTCAGACTTCATAATCTGTTTGTATGCTGATTATTACAAACAGTCGTATACTTGTAAACACATTTATGCCTGCTATACATGAAACCAGAATACAAAGTAAGAGATTATCTCCATAGTGTGGGAGTTTACTGGAAGATCAGGAATCGGTCTTTATCCCCTCAAATTTGCAGAAGTATGCTTGTAGTAAACAACTACTTCTTTCACAGTCACTTGCCTCTATGTTACCACTAAATTCACGAACACCAATTAATACCAATTGCTGATGGGCGTTCCAGATGTAAATGAAGTGAATAATTGAGTATTGGGTGGTCTAAATGGTTGAAATCCATTCTCTCTTGAAAAATACTACAAGTTCCTGGTGTCACACCTGTATTTTGGCCTCCTTACCAACTGCTATTTGCAATTGCTGGGGAATGAGGAAGAATATTCTGGTTTGGTTTTTTTCCCTCCTGTTATAGCATGAGAAATCCACGCAAAAAGAGGAAGATTCAAGCTGACAAAGCACAAGGTGGTATGAAATGTGCTGATATATCAGGCATGAATGCTACTGAGTTTTTCAACTATTACTCATCTCAAGAAACTGGAAAGGAAGAGGAACAGAGAATGAAACACAAAAATCAAATGCAAATAAACTAAATGCTTATGCCATGCAGCTCGGAGAAGAATCAGCTTCTTAATGCTACTACAAACAATACTTAAACTATTTTACAACCCTTGGGAAGCTCCTCAACCATTTCTTTGCCTTGCAAAAGCAAACAGAGAAAAGCTAACATAATTAATAAACAAATACGTTTTCCAACAGCTAAGATATTGTAATCCTCCTCTGAACTCTAGAAATCTTCCATAATTTTGGAGCCAAACTTGCATGGATTTTACTAACATTTTTCTGGAAGACAAATGGTCTCTGTCACCTTCTAAAAATAAAATTAAGTATTTCTCATTTATTTGTACATACACATTCAGGAGAGAAAGATTATTAGAAGAGACAGTATTTTGTTAGATCGATACAGTTTAGGAAATGGACAGGTTTTTGGGGACAAAACCTGTTCTTTCTGTCTGATAAAACTACAATCCACAAGCCTCATTGCTTTGAGTTTGGGTAGACATGTATTATTGAGCTGGGCTACTTAAATGGCTACCTGTAGAACAGAGGAGTTAAGCATATTCACAAGAGGACAGGCACAAGAGCTTATGGAGAGAGCTATGACTTGTCACCTGTGCAACATGGAGAGACTATCAAGAAAACAGACTACTTACAGTGTGTGACAAAACCTAACAAGTTTATTCAACCATTATTTTCTGTATTAACTTTTGTTTTGAATTTTGCTTTTCAAAATGTCTTTTGAAAAAAGATTTGTAGACCTCTCTTGAGGATAAGGGCCGAGGGGTCAGAGACAGTGTAATAGAAGAGAAAAAATACTCTTCCACTGGCACAACATGCCACAGTTCCATTGCAAATTGCTTCACACTTCCCACTCAGAACCATAGTTTAAGTTGTTTGTTGTTTTAACTGTTTAGACTCTTGTTTTCTACAGCAGATCTCTGCTCCAGGCAAAATTATTTTTAAAAACTTCTGGGGAAAGAGTTCAATTTAGCTCACAGGAGCAACTGAAGGAAAAATTACCATATTTATGCCTTGTTAAAAAACAAATCAGGTTGTTTTACTGAGAAATTTGTGTACCCCAGACTTTGGGGCAGGAAGTTGAGGCCACCAACACACAGATTTTGTAACAGTATTCTACATTTAAGAACAACAAACAAAATGCTTGTGCTGAAATTCCTGTCAGAGATACTTAAAACCAGTGTGCAGAACATCTTTTTTGCTGACAGTACAGGCCTGTTTGAGAGATCCAGAAACACATGCGAGTGCCATTTCTTCTTTCATTCTCTCCAGTCTTTTCTGTTGTGTACTTTCAATGGAATAGATCAATACAATTATCACCTTGGATATTTAGCAAGTGAAGCTAGATTTGTGAAAGCACCTTCATGCGAGTTTTAAAAGAAACTTGGAGCCACAAGCACATTCTGAAAAGTCTGACAGACCCATTCAACAGGTAGAAGCCTTGGACAGGATTCTCCTCCTGAACTTAGGTGTCTCTATGTAGATGTCTACTTCAGAAAACTGGGCAAGTTCTAATGCTTAAAATCAAATAGGTAACAACTAGCTGAAATCGGTGATCGCCATGTTCTACACACAGCAATATCTAGATCTCTGTTGACTATAACGTGAACAAAGATGCATAATTCACAGTGTAGATACCCAAATTTAGTCTTAGTCTTTCCATCACAACTTCCTGGATTAGTTTTATCTTCCGCTTTATAGAAACTTTTAGCTTTAGATATCTAACGCTCTAAGAAATAATGTGTTACATCCACAGATAAAATATTTTCTCATTCTTAGAAGTTACTATAGAAGATGTGTGCTTGCACTTGCCAGGGCTGAAAGGCATAAGTGTCCCAGAAAGATGCTGTGGATCACAGGCTACAGTTTCCAGTCACCTTTTAAAGCTAGTTGACAATATTCTCTGCGTTTTTTAAGAAATACACCCTCAAAGCATTGTGAAAGCAGAAAAACAAATAATACCATGTATGTTACACTTTCACAGACAAATGATTGGAAAATATTAGGGATATTTGAGTGCTGTTAAACACAGTCTGCAGATCCATTTTAGAAGTGTACGTAACATGCTTGGCATCATAGACTCCGTGATCTAAACTTCCAATTTGTAAAAGTTTTAATCCTCCTGTAAGTTTTATCCTTAAAGACAGTTTTTTAAGTATGAACTGAATTTGAATTCCTAGAACTGCAGACATGCTTAACCTCTCTCCTGATCACTCTTGCCTAAACTCTGCGAGTTCTCACCCAGTTCAGAAATGACTTCTTGAAGCACCTTCTCCTTTTACAAAGTCTTAGAAGAGTTTAGAAAAGAGGAGGAATAGTTTCCCCAGCAGGAAAACATTCTAGATTGCTAATACTTAAAAGCTCCAAAGGCATCTGAATAACGCCTGTTTTGTTTGACAAAAAGCCCCTGACCAAAATAAAACCCCTCTATGCAAAATTTAAGAATTCAATATCAAGTTATGCCCTCATCAGTTTTTATACAAAACAGATGACAAAACCAGCTTAAACAGGGGTGAACTTAGTGGCTGAGGGATAAGAACCTGCCTAACTGTTATCCTCACCCATCCACCAATTCTACTCACATCCATACATCGATATACTGTAACCTGGAGGCTTGCCCTACATGCAGTCACAAGAATCCATCTAGAAACAGCATCCATAACAGGCTGTTCTGACACACTCCTGAATAGAAATACCCACCCCGTTATTCTGTGAAATAACAAGTGCAACACAAATAGGATATGGGTACTACTACCTGCCCCAAGGGAGGTTGTTAAATCTTTGGGAGAAAATGTTCATGAAGAAGGTGGAGATACTATATCCAATTCTGGCACAATTCTGGCTGCAGAACATCTGCTATTCATGATACAGAAGGAAAAAAAAATAAAAATCTATAGCCATTCTTAAATTTCAGGTTGCCTAACTGCGAGGAAATTGGATTGGAAAGAATGCAGGTGTTGATCTGCATCCACTTACTATAGGAGAAGATCACTGAGATTCCATATTGTCATTTAATTACTCTCCATCCTATACATGCTGTACGCCTATTTGAAATAAATGGCTTCTGGAAGTGAAAATACCCCCTCAACACACTTTTCTTTTTTTCTTTTAAGATGGGGATACTGAATACTTTGTTTATGTAATTTGAAAAACTGAAATACAGAATACTAACATATCTTACACATTCATTTTATCAAATACTCCATGCTGAGGAAGAAAATAGAGGGGGGGAAAAACTCAAGAATTGCATTCTTTACAGAGACACAATTATCATGCTTTGTATTGAAGTTTTCTAGAAAAAAGGTACAATTTGAAATCATTAATATTGAAAAGTCACTCCTATCTTTTTTATAATTGGTACATATATTTAAATCAATTTCCACTGAATATTTTACTTACCATTCCCACGCCATACTTCAGCCAGATGGCAGCTTCCTTCTCCAGGCTCTTTGCAGAACTCTACTACATCGCGACAGGTTGTTTCTGGTGTAATTGGAACTTCTGTCAAAATCTGTTCATTGTTGCTCAGAAACACTGTTAATATCATCTGAAAGAAAAAATGACAGTAGAGAATATTAAAAAAAGTTACAAGAATAAGATTATGGGTAAGATTTATAATCCCCCTGTTAATGGAAAAGCATGCTTATGGTTGGTTACCACAATCCATGAAAGTAGTTTTCCGTTTCTTGTAACTTTGCCAAAAGTTTAGTCTTCTGTGTTGATTTTTTTTGACAGTGCATTAAATTGACAATTTTTTAAAAAAGCTTCAGTTGAAATGCTTTAGTTCTGTCTGAAAATAAGGCCATGAGGGAAGGAACAGGTTTTGGCTAATTAAAATGCTTGAAATCATACCATTTAGATGTTGCAAATAAATACAAAGTTCAGCAAAGTAACCTGAAGCTTCATAGGAGGGCAGCCCTTTGCATGATGGACATAATTTTTGCAATTTGTCTGAAGATACACTTACATTTGATTGAATTGTAAGCCTTCGGTCAAATGGTAAGCCTCAGAGTTTTAAAAAAAAAAAAGGGAGGAAAAAACTCACACTTTTCAAGGGATTGCATTTGCTCAATATACTTGCTAGAGCTAAAAACCTCTGAAAAGTCAGTTCTTTCTGCCCTACTGTAGCCCCCCTCCCCTGAGCTTGCTGTGTTGATCAGACTGTACACGCAACCTTCCCACAGCGCTACTAAGTGTGCTCTCTTCACAACATCAAAAGACTACTTTTCCTCTAGTAACTGCTCCCAGCTATTCCAGCTGGAAAGTGTCAACTAAATAGAAAATAGCTTTTCTTCCCCTCCCTGCCTTAACAATATTCAAGATGACTTGACATCAAGGAAAACAGAGAGAAGAACAAGTGGGATGAAATGTATAAAGGAAAAAGCCTAGCACTAAGAACTAGTACTAGTCTGAGTCAGTGTAAGCTTCCGTTCAAATTCCTTGCTCCACCTTAAATAAATGTGTGCACAAATACATACATCCAAAGATAGTCCCATCCCTTTTCATGTTAGCTGGTGTGACTTGCTGCAAAGTTAAACACTCGAAAACTGTGCACATTAACTTAACCCACCTCACCCCCTTGGTGCATATGTATTATGATATGATCATTAATAATATGTTCATTTTCTACACTCCCCCTGTTAAGGGCCTCTGCCTTATACAGTATTCTCAATGAATTTATTCTATAGGCCCTCATATAATTTACTGCAAAAGCTGGAAGTAGATAGTTAACAGCTGAGGGGCTTGCAAGAAGGAAAATATGAAAAAAACAACAGTCTACCAAGAAACAAAGTCCTAATAAAATGATGCTAAAGTGATTCATTTTTTCATGAGTGAGACTAGTCAAGGACCAATGAAGGTTGTATTCAAAGACAAGTATTCCTATGTTACACTAAATCCTCTGAAAGATACCGGACCCTAAGCTCCTGCTTAAGATTAAACAGATCCTTCTAACCATTCTCTCTCTCTGCACCATAATTTCCCACCTGTAGTCACAATGCTGTTCTGTAAACTCATGGGGATACAACAGAGACAACATGATGTATAAAAGACAAAGATACCATAATAATAGATGTCCCTAAAGAATGTGACAAAATTAGTAATTTTGTCCGCAGAGAAAGTTCTTCCAGATCTTTCACAAAGTGAACCACAAAGATTAAACCTAATTATTTATAAGTTCTTCGTTAAATGAGCACTCTCCACTTAAACAGAGTTGTGTTTCAATTTGCATAGGCAATTCTTAAAAACATTCATAACCCTTTTATCTCTGGGACATATACACATAGCAAACTGAAGATTTGCATTAATAACAGCTAAATACTGAGTAAGAGCAGTCTATCTACTTTAGAAGTAAGCACAGGACAAATTCCAAGAAATCCCAGGCTTCAAACTCTCAGTCTCCTCGTCAGTCCTCCAGGCTATTTTAGTCCATGCTTCTACTCTCCCTCAGCCTGCCAAGTTTGTATGCTGTATCCTGAAGTTTTCAAGTAACTACACTTCAACACAAGAAGCTGTCATCCAGGGCTGTAAATACAGTAGAATTCACCCCTGAGTTTCTCCAACATCAGCATTAAAGGAAGCTATAGTAACAGCTACAGCACAACCTAGGAGGAAGCTACAGGATGCAGCCACAGTAACCATCTACTGTTAACAGCTCACAATGTTCTTTTATCCCTGTAGAAGATTCAGACACAGTCTCACTATTAAGTGGTTGTGGAATCTTTTACGGAATAAATATCTGATGTGGAATCTAGTAGTGGAATTTGACCTCATATTTAAGAAGAAAGAGTTGTATATGAACATAAACCAATATGCTTAGAAGAAACATTAAGAGGTCATCTAATGCAGTCTCTTGGCCTCAGGCAGGATCAACCATACCCACATTATTCTGCAGAGATGCTTGTTTAACCTGTTTTGAAAAGCCTTTCATGATGGAAATTCCACCACTTCCCTGAACCATCCACCCCAGGAATCTAGGATTCCCATTTCAAGAAGTTTCTCAAAATCTAGTCAAAGCTTTCCTTGCCACTTATTTAAACCCACTACTTCTCCTAGCCCCAAGCAGGGGGGTGGGGGGAAGATAGAAAACACTTTTTCCCCGCTCTGCAGTTAAATTTAAGGAATACATAATAAGTAATTAAATTAATTAAGTTAAATTAAACAACACCAGTTTGACAGAGAATTATAGATGCCAGTATTCTAAATACAGTTTCCCCGTAACACTGGAGAGCAATTTCAAAATAACACCCAAGTTTCCCAAACTTTATGAGAATGCCAAGAGATCCTGGCTTTACTGAAGTCATGCTATGATGCATACGCTGTCTTTATCATTTGTCTTAAAGACCTGTTATCTTTTTATGAAAGGATAAACAGAATGGCTTAACATCATGTAGTTTAATATGGTTTCCAAGTTTCGATTTTTTTATTGCTGTAGAGATAACACTGGCCCAGAAAACTTGTTTCGTCTATTCAAGGTTATCTGTCTGCACCCGCAGACAGGCTGAAAAAGAAAGAAAAACCTTGGAGGTGCGAGTTATCCCATACATCTCATGAATTCAGACTTCAACCACTATATACACTCACAGTCCCCTTTGCAAGACCAGGCAAAAACTTGCTGTACCTCAAGCACACCACTTTCTTTCCTCAGCTCCCACTGCACCAGTACTGTCTTCTCCAAAGGTGGGTGTCACTCACAATATCATCTGCTAGACATCACATCATCTGCTCCTCCACTAATGAGGAAGCAAGGTGCTGTAGCCAACTATTGTCACACTACTCCTCAAGCAAACTTGGTTAAGTAAGGATTATTTTTAACAGGTTGGTTGAGTAATACCAAAGGAACTGAAGCACTGTGCTGTGAAACAGATCTCTTGAAACATACACAGGAATATTCAAAATATTGAACGTTACTAATATGTTGCAATATTAATTAGATTTTTCAAGTCAGTGTCATAGCTGTCCCTATTTGTGGTGGGGGTGGCATAAGAATCAGAGGTATTTCATAGTGATAAAATACAAAGCAGCATTGATGGAGCCTGGAAATTTGCTGCTGAAAAATACAAGGGAAGCATACACATGAAATACACAGTACACCCACTGCAGTAAATCAGCTTTATGAAAAAATATTCTTAGCCAAAGATTAGGACACAGGAGAAGTGATAAATCCTTTGATTTCTCATTTAAAATGGATTCTGAAAAAGGGACAGCTGTAAAAACTCATCTTGTTAAAAACCCATATTCTTTAAAATGAGATCATAACCATTGTGGCATTTATTTGATAATCTCGCAATTCACTCATTCAAAACTTTTAATATATGGACACAATGTCACAAAACAGGATCAACCCAACACTCACAAGTAAGTCACATCAGTGTTTCTAAATCATATATTGTTTCCACAATGAATACCAAGCTCCAAATCTTAACACTTCCCTTCTCCTCAACCCAGACACAGATGTCACCCGTTACTCTCCTCTACTGCTCCTGCTACCAAACCAATGGCTTTATTTCAACTTTCATCAATTCTCATCTCTTTTTCTCTTAAATTCCTCCCAACTTCTAGCATATCTCTTCACAGTTCAGATCTGTACCATGTCACAGAAGCTCCAACAAACACCACAACTTGCCTTCAAAACTACTCTGTCATCTCACTCATTTCTCAGCTTACAGATGATCTCCTCCTAGGAGGGCCTCAAAATCAGTACCCTACGCAAATCATCTCTGCCCAACAGATGCTTGTCAAATACTTGTATGTGTTCCCCTTAGTATATTGTCTCCCCTTTCTCCATTCCCAGCCCAATTCTCCTCTTCCAACCATACTTCCTGTGTTACTTAAAGGACACACTTCATCATCCCTGCAGTTTCTCAAGGATGTAGAAAACAGGGATAAATCCACAAGATCTTTATCCCCGCTTATTATCTCATCTCTTTGTCACCTACAAAAATTTATGAAGGCATTGTCTATAAAGATGACACAGTTTTATGTTTCTAGACCTGATCTCTTGCTAAGGAAGCTGAAACATTGACCAACTCTTCAATCAACTCTTGTGAATGCCTAGCTATCAATTCAAGTTCCATATGGCTGTAACAGAGTCCTTAACCACTTTTCTCCAATGACTCCCCAGTTTCCATATTCATCATAACATGCAGGTACCTATTACTATGAGCTGTACTCCAGGTATCTTTGACATCAACCATTTCCTCAGTCTTGTGTCTCAGATCTATCTCGAGTTTTCCTGTACAATATCTAAGACACAGACAGGGTTTATTTCTGTCAACTGGTCCAGCTAATGCTCTCAGTTTGAAAACTTGCCTATCAGTTTCCCAGCTTTCCACTGGTGTGCCTTTTTTTAATCATGACATCTACCACAGCAAAATTCATTCTTCATGCCTATGGCTTTGACCATGTTGCTTTTCTGTACCAGCCCTGGTAAGCACAATTTATTGGTCTTCTACACTTCCCCACTGTGACATGGAATCTTCTTCCCTATCATCTTTCACCCCATATCAAGAAATCGATGCAGAATTGGTCCTTTACACCAGTTTCTAC